CAAATTCTAATTTGGTGGTGACTTTATTTATTTATTTGCCAGATATAATAAAAATGGAAAAATAGTTAACATTCTTCTCTCATACCCCAATGTTTATCCCTCTGTTGGACCTTCTCCTTGTCTCTCCATTTTATTTGTCCTCATTCACAGCAGAAATCCCTTTTTTTAAAAAAAAAAAAGGGGGGGGGAAAGTAGGTTTGGAGAACTTCAGATAAAAGTGTTGTAGTTTTTTTTGGCCTTTGTTTTGGTGTCACTTGGTTTCTTATCAAAGTGTTTGATTTGCAATTTTTTTCTTGTCGTTTGCAGAAGCCGAAAGCGGTATGCCCTCTTCGTTTCCTTTCCTTCCAACCTCAATCCTACCTTCACTCCTTCTAACTTCAGGACTAATTCCTTACCAAGAATACAGGAAGATAACATCTTTGTCTATCTTTCATATATATATATATATATATGTAATATATATGTAATACATATAAATATATATATATATATAAGCCCCAAAGTTTCAAAGAGGAGAGAAAATTTGATAGCAACAGTTGGTTTCTTCATTGTTTCTTATGTCTTATGCACTAACTTCTTTGCAGGAATAATACCCACATAAATTAAATTTAGCCACCGGGCATTGTCTTAGGAAGAAAGATTAATTCAAAAGAAGATATATAAGATTCATTCAATAGGAGAACTGTCTCTCCTGTCCAGTACTCCTTTTCACCTGTTTAATGTACTTGCGTTTTGTTGCAACCGTGTCTGCTTCATGTCTATTAACTTTTGCTGTTCATTGCTTTGACATCCCCCCCACCCCTTCAAATTCCCCCCACCAAGTATTCTTTCAGAGTTTCTGTTCCACACAGTACTTCGTGTCCTTCCCTTCCACCACTCATTAGTCAAGTATGAATGCCTTGATTTTTTTTTGTTTTTTGTTTTCAGTTTTGAGCCTAACACTGAATCAGAACAACTGAAATATAAAACCACGCAGAAGCTACTATAGTTTTAACGATGGCCATCGTGTAGCTTTTTGTAGAAGACCATTGACTGGAATATTTGAATGGGTTGGCTTCTTTTCCCCACTTTGTGCTGGCCTGTTTTGCCTACTACGTATTGTGCTGATATTCAGTACTCAACTTGAACTTACATGCCACACAGCTGTTGTGTATTTGAGATCAGCAAGGCATGGATAACCAAATCCCTTTGATTTCTCTCTCATTTTATTCATCTGAATGCCTCAAACTGTACACTGGCACTCCTTAATTCTTGACCTATTCTGATTTCCTTTTGAATTGCATACCCTGAATCGGTTGTTTTCTCTCTCCTGTTCCTGCTTCTGTCTTATCATTCTGTGTAGTATGTAATATTCTTTCTGTTTAGTTCTTATATCCTGTGGATTTGGAGTAGATATGTGAACAAGAGAGGTCGCTTCCTGACAGTTTGGCATTATTCATATGATCCAACTGCAGAGAAGTTACTGCAACACTTGGCATCTTCAAAGGATCTGCAGTTGTTGCACCTCTTATATGGCTTCTTGTTTACCAGTAATTTTAACCGTGTGGTAAAGGCATGCATAGTGTGTGCAAAAAGTGTGTGGTTTAAAAGTGTGCTGCCTTGCTCCCAGAAGAGAATGACACAAATCTGGCTTAATATAGGGTGTCTGTGCTGATTCATGGACAACGGGCATCCATCAGCTTTAGAATGTGTTGTATTTGGTTCAACACATTTGACTCAGAGCAACTTTTGATATGGTAAAAGGCAGCTAATAAATCTGTTGGCCATCCACATTTAGTACCAAGGACTTTATTCTCTGGGAGCAACGCTTGGAATTGCTTGCTTTAGTGATTATGCAGCTCTAGTGTTCTGTAGCTTTATGAAATGTTTTGTCATTTGCCTACTCTTTGGTGTCTACAGTGATTTCTTTTCCTCTTTATGTAAATCTGTATTAACATTAGTCTGGAAAGTCCTGAAGAGTGCTAGCAGAGAGACTCTCTGCTCCCACAAGAAATACATGTGCATGTCTCTATGCTGTCTACAAATATGTTTTAAAGAAACTCATAAGGAAAAAAGTAAAATTGTATCTGTCATTCATAAATACTTCAATGGCTAAAATTCATTTTAAGGAGATCTTGGTGGACCATTTGGCACAGCCGATGGACCAACCAATCTTCAAGAAAACCTTGCCTGTAATCAGGAATATCCCATCTCTGTTAAACTAAATACAGCATTGCAACCATGATGGTGAAAAATACATTTTATTGTTATCTTAATTGCACGGGGAATGGTACAGCACATCTACCATAGCATGAAAGTTACTACTACTTTTTTTTAGTCACTCATCCCATTGAAAAGCTTGACATTTGACCTACACATGAGTTCAGAATATTGTAGATATTTCAGTGTGCTTTCAGTGCTGAGGCATGCAAGACACGGATTTGGACTTATTCACTGGCATAACAATTATATGTATAGATTTTGAAGTTGTGTTCTCATTTCTTCCTTGAAAGACACATGTATTTCCCTTTAGAGTAGGTTGATATGCCCTTAGCTCCCCTAGTATTCAAGACCTAATAGGCCTTGGCTATAGTGTTGGCTTTTATTTACAATGGGGATCTCTAATTATCAGCAGAGGACTGAAGGTTGAACTGCATGTTGCATTAAGATGGAACATACAGCTGATCCTCTCTTCTCTTTTGCTCCAAATGAAGTTGAGAGACAGATCAGAACTCTTACATGCTGAGGAAAGAAAAAAAGCTTAATTACAGGCACTCATCCAACTCTACCACTTGCTTTCTGAAATTCTGTCTCCTTCTTCACGGAGGTTAGGAATAAAGAATGAAAAATGTCCAGGCAGCAAATTACATAAGCAAAATGCTGAGAGGTTCAGTGCCATCCTTGTGGGCTTGGTCAGAATGAGGAAAGCAACTTATGCCATTGCAATACAAGCCTCGCTTTTTTCTATGCACATTGCGACATTGCACAAATTCCCAAATGGGGAAGCACTTGCAAAATGATGCTGTAACGTTTGTTTTTGTCCAAATGATGAAAGCAACGAGATCCTTCCCCCTATGTTTATGAGGGTTGCAATCTGTCTTGGGGAACAGGGAACATGCTTTAGAAGTAAGAGTCAGTGATATATTCTGTACTTAATGTAACATGTAGTTTGACCCATAGAACTGGAAGCTTCAGTTTCATGGATGGAGTAGTGGTTGAACAGATTGACCCACAGTTAAAATTTGTCTAAGATTTAACTAATGCATGGTATAGTTTTGCTGAAATTTTATGCTTTCATAGCAGGAAGGAATTCCTACTGATTTAGAAGTAATTCTCATTGTCCTAAATCAGTGTTTCTCAACCTCAGCAACTTTTAGATGTGTGGACTTCAGCTCCCAGAATTCCCCAGCCTGACCGAATAAATATTCACAGGATTGCTTTAGACCATTTTATTTACAAAGATACAGATTTTTCTGACATACAATTCACTCTGTCTTTCAATTATCCCATAGTGAGAGCCACATTAAATCAGGCTGTATAAGAATTTAAGTTTAAGTTCAACTTTCTGCTCAATCACAGTGGGGCTACCATTAATTCTGAACCCACTGAAGTTTATTCCAATGAATATTTAACATAAAACAATTGGAAATATTATTTCAGGCTAGAAGGGAAAGGAAAAAATGTCGAATTTACCTACTGGTTAATTAAATGCAACTTTGCATTCTAATGTTATATTAATTTGGCAATTTAAAAAAAAATGGTCATCAATGTTCCATTTAGAAACGAACCAAGAAAAATACAAGCAAAATAAAACTGAAATGTGGATTGCATTGTATATTAAAAGTCACATTACAATGGAAGAATTCTAGATAGTACGAATAGGTAGAGGAACTACAAAGCTTAAAGGTATGTAAGTGCTTTTTCCCATATTGCACTTTATAGCGAACAATTTTTTTAAAAAAAATCCTAACTTAGAAACAACGGTAATGCAGATACTTTCATGCAAAAGCCAGACTTCCCCCAAATCCTCAGGTTTGAGAAACTGAAAAGAGCATATAAACATGGTAGTTAAATAATCTGTACTTAGGGATAAAATTCTTTATTACTCACCTGGCATTGTGTGATTTGATATCTGAAATTTTCACATACAATTTGTCAGTGTACAGTAAAAATATCAGAGAGAGAGATCTATTTCCTGTGTTCAAGCATGGATTTTGCTATTTGCTATTCCAGCCGAAATGTTGCCATCTCCTCCCTGCACATGACTTCCTTGTCTCCCTGAATCCACCATAGGTTTTGCACCTTTTTATCCAATATTTTTGAAATATTGTTTAAATTCAGGAAATCTGCTCCAGCATAGGTTTTGCTGTTCAGGAAATCTGCCAAGCCACAGAGCAGTCCAGATTTGGCACACTGAAAAATATTAGCCATCTCATGAACAATCTAGCCCCCTTCCTTGTATTTTGTTTCAATAATAATGTGTGTGTGTGTGCGTGCCTTTGAGTCAGTGTTGACTCCGGGTGACTGCCTGGACAAGCATCTGCAGTTTTCTTGGCAAAGGGTTTTGGATGCGGGTTGCCCTTGCTTCCTTCCTAGGGCTGAGAGAGAACGACTGGCCCAAGGTCACCCAGCTGGCTTCATGCCTAAGGCAGGACTCGAACTCCCAGTCTCCTAGTTTCTAGTCTGGTGCCTTAATCACTACCTCAGACTGGCTCTGACCTCAGTATGGAATAATAACAATAAATAAATAAATACAAAGACCTGCAAATAGAAGTAGAAGGACTGTGGCAAAAGAAAGCAAAGATAGTACCAATAGTTGTAGGCACTTTGGGTGCAATTCCAAAACTTCTGGAGCACCATGTGAAGACCATCGGCATTGACAAAATCACCATCAGTCCATTGCAAAAGGCAGCTTTACTTGGAACAGCTTATATCCTGCGACGATACCTTTAACACCATCAAACAACCACATTGGAACAGCTTATATCCTGCGACGATACCTTTAACACCATCAAACAACCACATTGGAACAGCTTATATCCTGCGACGATACCTTTAACACCATCAAACAACCACACCTGCCTATCCCAGGTCCTTGGGAAGGACTTGATAGGAGGTTAGAAATGCCAAATCCTGTCTAAACATCTGGCTGACTGTGCAACCAACCATAATAATAATATGTTCTTTTACACAAATATGTGCAAAAAACTATTAAAGAACCCTTTTCTGGAAAAAATTGTCCTTTCTTCTGAATCATGTTTTTCTCTCTTTTTGAAGGTCCTTAGATAAGGCAAACTTTACCCTTTTTTGTTGTCACTGAAGGCAGATTCATGGAATGGAAATCTTTGGCTTATCTTCTAAAACAAATTTGCTACATTAAAAAAAAAAATGGCCAGAGAAGGAACTTCCAGATTTGAAAATAAACTTCAGGTTAAATTCAGTGGCAACTCTTGAGTTCAGTTGCTCAATGGCGGGGGGGGGGGGGGG